CCATTCCCTGCACTAACAGATGCATTCTTTTATCCTCCACAGGTCGGCACTGGTGCCACGGTGGCCACTCTGGCCGACGCCTCCGAGCTGCCCACCACGGTCACGGTCGCACAGGTGAATTATTCTGCAGTGGCTGATGGCGAGGTGAGCTCCTGCCTGGGCTTCCATCAACATCTCAGTGCCCTCAGCAAGCAGCCAGCCTGCAGAGTTAAGGGCTAGCCCAGAACAGGGAGGGTTGGGATTTTGTATTTTCTACAGAAAATGTTGAATTGTTATTTCGGCTCGATGCTCTACAAACACAATTAGAGTGGGAGAGTGGAAGCCTTAGGTCTGAATTTTTAATTTTTTTTTTAAGCCTTATGTCTGAATTTTGTACTTTTTTTTTAAAATACCTCCTATAGATTATTTATTTTGATTTTTTTGTTTGGGTTTTTTTAGGTATTTCCATACCTAAATCTGAACGCTCCGACTTGCAAACCCTCGTTTTTTTTAAATCAAATAATACATAATTCTTTCTATGGGTTCAAGATACATTCCCTTAAAATTATAATTTTTTTTTTTTACCCTTTTACCTTCAAACCCCACCTTGAAATGAGGCTGCAGGTCCCTTTCCTGTCCCTTTCCTGCCGTGCTCTGCCTGGCTGGGATGTCCCAGCGAGAGGTGGCAGCACAGAACAGCTTTGCTGCCACAAACCCTGTTCCAATCTCAGCCTTTCAGGGCTTTCAGGAGCCACTTTGGTCTCCTTAGAGCTGCAGGAAATCTTCCAAAGGCACAGAGGAGGCAGGATCTGGATGGATTTAAAATCCTTTTACACCCTTTTAGCTGTAGAATCTCAACATCTCAACCTCTGTGGAGGCAGTCCCAGCTCCTTTTCCTTTTTTCCTTACTCCATCCCTGGTTTGGAACTCCTTGGGATCAACCTTTGCCCAAAGGCAGCAAAATTTCCTCCTGCTAAATTTTACCTTGAGCCTCGAGTCACCTCTGCTTTTATGGATTTTTTAACCATCTCCACCCCACCAAATTGAGGTGTTCTTTTCATTCCCCCCCTACAGCATTTTTATTTGTGTGCCTCAGAATTTGAGGAGTGCCCTAAAATGTTTAAGGGGATAGGAGGGAGATCTTCACTTTGCAAAGCAGCCAGTAGCTGCAGTCAGCAGATCCTCTGCTTTTTTTAGGTTTTTTTTTTTGTCCAAAGTATGTTTTTAGTTCTCATCCTGGTGGATTTTGTGGCCATATAATCATTATCCCACGAGCTGTGAAGCTCCACATGAAAATATGGGGGGAAATGAGGAACTGGGTGAACTTTAGGTAATATGGAAATGATCTGTGGGAAGGTCTGGAGTTAGGGAGAAAGGGAGAAATGGAGCTGTGATAAATGAACATTTCCAGCCACCATCATCTTTTATTAAGCAACATGGCTCGATCTCATCCAAGGGGGTGTCCAGGTAAATCCTGGATGGGAGCATGGACCAACCCCCAAAATGTGCAAATAGAAACAGGGAGGGAATCCCAACCCATTTCCCTGAGGGCTGTGATCAGTGCTGGGGCTCCAGGAACACAGAATTCCAGAATAATTGGGGTTGGAAGGGACTTTTGGGAATCATCCAGTCCAGGACAGGTGACCCAGGGACGTGTCCAGGTGAGTTTGGGATGTCTCAGCCAGAGACACTCCTCAGCTTCCCTGGGCAGCTGCTCCACTCTCCATGGAAGGAAGTTTTTCCTCGTGGTGAGGTGGAATTGTTTTTTAATCAATGCCCATTAAACTAATTAATAAACAGCCCGGGCTGGCAGCAGCGATTTGGGCACAACACCAACAACGCTGCCCTGTTTGGGTGACAAATTTCTGGATTTTTTTGAGGACTTTTCTGGATCTTTATGCACTTTTTCACCACCTTTATGCACAACCCCGTGGCTGATGGAGGTCTGGGGAGTGCCCAACCCCATCCTCAGGTCAATCCCACCCTCCCTTTCCCCCCCAATCCCAAATCCCAAAACCCTGGGGAGGGAGGGAGGGAGGGAGGGAGGGAGGGGGGTCAGCCACCCCCCTCGAGGGGCTTCTCCCTGATCCCCACAGCCTCTCCCTGTGCTCCCCTGGCAGGTGGAGCAGAACTGGGCCACGCTGCAAGGAGGGGAGATGACCATCCAGACCACGCAGGCCTCGGAGGCCACGCAGGCAGTGGCCTCGCTGGCCGAGGCAGCCGTGGCGGCGTCGCAGGAGATGCAGCAGGGAGCCACTGTCACCATGGCACTCAACAGGTACCTGCACAGCTGCCACAGCTGCCACAGCTGCCACAGCTGGATTCCTGCCTCGCTGTGGGACTCATATCGAGAAAGTCAGAAAATTCCAGCCTGCAAACTGGAGATGCTCAGCTCTGTTCTCTGCCTGGTGAGCTGCTCCAGCTCAAGGTTAAGGAGAATTTGTGTTAAAATAAAAAGGAATTAATAACAAACAGAACACCTGTTGTGGTGTGTGGCCAGGCCCTGGCAATGGGGTGTCTTCTCTCTGAGCCAATCTCCTTTTCTCTGCTCTGGGAGTTGCAGTCCTGCTATAAAACCAAATTTGTTTCTGGATAAACTTGGCTCTTTCTTCCTGTCATGACAGACGACCATGGAGCCGTGCATCTTATTTCTGCTGCACTTAAAGGGTTAAAAGCCCTTTGCACAGCTGCACCTTTCCTTCTCACAGTGCTCAGCTCACTCTGCAATCCTGAGAGAGGCTTTTCCTGCTTCTCTCAAGAGCAGCTCATGATTCTTGATCGGTTCAGAATCAGGATTTCCCCCCCAGACCACTGTTTTTGGGGTTTTTTTCCCCTCAGTCTTTCTAAAGTAGACGTTTCAGTGGTTATTAAGGGTTTATTAGGAGTTTATTAGGGTTTTTGGCTGCACTCAGATCAGCAAGATCTAAGATTTAGCTCCACAGGTCCACCCAGCAGGACAGAAAATCTTTGCTCAGCTCTTTGCTTAAACTCATCCTGCTGTTCCTAAAACCTGGAGAGGCTGTGTGGCACTCCCTGAGACAGGAAATCACAGCACAGCACTGAAGGAGGTGTTTGGGTTTTGGTCAAGAACTTCCCTCACTCAAACCAGGATCCTGGTTAGAGGGGATAGGACAGGACAC